AAAAAAAAGAAATTATGGAATCAGATTTCAGATTAATATATCTTTGTTCTTTCTCTACAAATTATAGTGATGTGGTATATCATATGGTCAGATGCTGGTTATCTTAGTCCATTTGGGCTGCTACAACAAAATATCTGAAGCCAATTAATTTATAAACACAAGATGTCTATGACTAGAGGCTAGGAAGTTCACAATCCAGTCAAGCGGGTTTTGCATCTGGTAAGAGTCCGTTCCTTGTAGATGCTACCTTCTCTGTGGGGTCACATGGGAGAAGAGCAAACAAGCTCAGGCATCTTTCACAAAGGCATGGACGCCATTCCTGGGGGTCCCACCCTCATGCCCTGTTCAGTTTCCAAAGGGGCAACTTCTTAATGCCAATATGTTAGGGGTTAATTTCAATATACGAATTTTAGAGGGACACAAACATTCGGATCACAGCCCTGCTGAAATAATTATAACGTCTGTTAAATGAATGTGTCCAATGAAAGGAATTTCACAAGCCAAACACCTCTGCCGTTAGCACAAATGGAGCAAATGTTCCTTGTTATGACCAAAAACTCATTAGATAAAATTGATGAACTGCTAGAGAATTATGCTGAATAAGAAAAGGTTGATCTCCAAAGATTATAAGGAATGATTTTGTTAAAATTACATTACTGAAATAAGAATATTATAGATATGGAGATTAGTGACTGTCCTTAGGTTAGGGCAGGGGGTGGGTCTGGCTGGCTTTTAAAGAGAAATCGTGAAGGAGTTTGGCGGATGTTGGTGGTTGGGGGGTGCATGAAGCTAAACAACTGAAAAAACTGCATAAACTTACCTGTGCCCGTGCCCTGGAATCTGAACAATCTCTGAGGATTGTGCCTTTGTCGAGCTCCTGGTTTTCAGGAGTGTTCTATAGTTAGGCAGGGCAGTGGGAAAGGGTGAAAGAAAGGGGCACTCAGCTTCCTGTCTTCTGGTTACGGTCTCTAAACCTATAATTATTTGAAAACGAAACATATAGGTTCTGTGTTCTGCAGTGCTAAGGACCAAACTCAGACTTTCTGCATGCCAGGCAAGTGTTCTACCACTGGATTATATCCCTAGTCCATGAAACATTTCTAAAATACTGAAATATCCTGGGCACTCTAGAGAAGGGGCTGTGAACGAGGTCAAGTGAGAGCGCAAACAAATGGGGCGGCTGGCAACGGGGAGGGACGGCTGTGGCCACAACGAAGCAGGAGCTGCTATTTAACGCACCCGCAAGGACCCTGTGTGTCTGGGATGGCAAAGTCTTCTAAGTGCTACTGTTTTTATACAAAGCAAGACACCTGAACTTGCAAGAAGAATCTGGCTTTTAAATACACGACCTGTATGTACGGTGGTTCATGACAATGATGCCCCTGCTGAAAGCTCGTGTAAGCTCTGACCTAGGCCGACAGGGTCACTTCCTTCTGCTTGGTGCCCAAGACTTGTAGGTCCTCATTCAGTATTCCCTGCATCAGTCATTTGTTTCTTCCCAACTGCCTCAGTATTTTTTTTTTAAATTAAATTGCTTGTTAATATATACATCACTTTCAGCATAAGGAATTTGCACCTGTACATAATATATCTCGATTCTTATTTTTTCCCATTCCTATCCCTCCCTGCAATCCTCCTCCCTTTTCTCATTTGTAAATGCTTTGTTTCCATTTTTCCTTCTCTTTTTTCTCTTTTCCCTTCCTTCAGGTTCCTCTCCCCTCCCTTATTCTTCTTCTCATTTGAATATCTTCTTCCTACTTTCCAGTATCTGTAAGTTAAGTGAGACAGACACAATTTAAGAACGTTGAGCAGAGTGAGAGCTTATGCTAGAACTTTCCTGTGGCTGACATGATCGCCTGGTGAACAGGCCTCAGCAGAACCCACGCCCTTTATATCCCTTTGCAGCTCTGCCCATAGCTTGCTGTCCATGCAAGCGCTAGTTTGTGTCCTTTAAAGTATTTATCATATCTGCTCTGCTGAGAGGTCAGAGTCAAGACATCCCTCCTACTTCTAACTTTCAATCTGTTAGGTTGGCTCCAAAATATATGAAAAAAGACATATTTAGCCATATGGTCTTCACCACAGCTTACAAAAGAGCTCCATGCACGACATCCATGAGTCAACATGGCATCCCATCCCACCTCTGCACGGTCTGAGGAAACACCACAGGCACTCACCAGACTTCTGTATCCCATGTCTAGCGGTGTGAGCCCCCTAATTTCTTTGTGAAAAGAGAGAAAAAGATCCCAATCTTTTGGATGCTAGGATTTCATCTATGGATAATTATATCTTCTCAAAATCCAATTTGAAGTGATTGAAAGATTTATTTGCATTCATTCTTTGCTCTTGCCCCTAAAATTCTGCCAATAAGAGTCCAGAGAACGTCTTCTAATCCTCTATTTCATAGCAACATGCCTGTCGCTATTATGTAATTATATACCAATAAAGGAGTTTTTTTTTTCTATTTGCCATTTTTTTTCACAATAACAGGCATGGTTTTTGGTTTTCAGCCTCAAAAATTATGCTAATGTAGTATGAGTAATAATTCAAAGTGTAACTACTAATTTCTCTAAGGCGAAATATGCAAGACCCTGGGCTCTACGTTTGTTTTCAACTAATTATCATGTGTTTACTTTTCCATTAGTCTGATAATTTTTCTTTCAATTCTGAATTAAGCAATAAGATGCTGAATTATACGAAGGCCTGTTTAGCACAGCAGAGACACCCCATCATTACACAGACCTCTGATTTACATCTCTTCAAATGCATAACCAAGAGACTTACACATGCCCTTTCCTATTTATATTCCATCATGTAGTCACCTCGATAACTCCTGTGTTCTCAGAAGGTCTACCTAGCAATTAACTCCGGTCCTTCCTAATGCATCATCTCATTATACAAAGTACAGTTGAACAAAACTTTATTAGCAACTTTCGGCTCTAATTCCTCTTATCTCCGCTGTTCTTGCTCTGCCCAGGAATGTCACATATATGTAACAAAAATACTCTGCAAAATGACAGTTTAAAAAAAAATCCACTTTGGGCTTGTTGCACACTTAGTAATTGGTCTTTGCACTCTGGGGCACCACAATAAATCGAGATTGTCATAGTTCAGCTGAAGTTTGTGATGCAGTTCTTTAGAGAAATTGAAATGAATTCTCTCTGCCACACAACACAGCAGTTTAACTATGTTGAGGAAGAATAGGCTAGCAAAGAAGGCACTATATTTATTTACATGTAAAAAGAAAAAAAAAAGTTAAAACAAACCAATCCCAAATGCTCTATGAAAAGTAAAGGAATTCACACATCTCTTCTTCCAAGTGTAGGAAGAGGAGGGACTTACAAAATTGCTCCGAGGTACACCATAAAGAACCGAAGGAGGACTAAGTGACGTTCTAGTGACAGAGAACCACAGGGGCTATGGAGTTCTCACACAGTTGAATGGAACCTAGCTTCTGCAGATAGCATTCTCAGTGCCCAAGCTGGGAGAAGCCTGGACACAGCCTCTCACTCACCAACATCAGGGTCCACAGCTTGCACTCTGGTCAGCAGAGCCTTGGTGGCGGTGTTCTCATAGACACAGGCATTGTAGTGGTCCGAGGAGAACACAGGGGGGTTGTCATTCACATCCTCCAGCATCAGGTGGACATCAGACTGGCAGAATCTGCCACCCCCATCAGTGGCCCTTGCAATCAGGTTGTACACTGGAACCCGCTCTCGGTCCAATAGAGCCAAAGTTTTTAACTCACCTGTGAAAAGAAATGGTAGCATAGTAGCTCTAGGTTTTCAAAAACTGTCTTTCTTGAAAAAAAAATCATTTAAATATTCTAAATACAAGAAGAACCAAGGACCTTTGACCCCAGTGTCCTATTATTTGAAATAAAAGAGCATATGCAATGCTTTTATGCATCAGGGAAAAACTATGGGATTCTGAACATAACATCAAACCAACCACAGGACCTTCAGTTGAATCCCTCCATCAAGTCTGACTGCCAGTTTTTCTATTAGCTTCATTGAGAAGCTGTATGGAAAGCTCAGAGTGTGGACTAATCTATGCAGGTGTTTGATGGTCAAGAACTCATAAGCGCAGGACAATCTTCTTGCTTCCAGGTATTCAGCTTTTTACCCTGTTCTTCAGAGGAAAATAAGGTACTTAAATCAGACCTGTCTTACAGAACAATCTTGAAAAACCCAGACTGTGTAAGGCTAAGCTTTTACTTCCTGGACTATGGAAGTGCTCGTGGAAGGCTCCTGGAGTCTTAGAGCAATGAAGCTGCCAACCTAGAGGTCTGTGGCATCCGTATTTTCATCACTGGAGAAGCTATACAGGTGGTGCTGGATGCCAGCAATTTTGGATGTTGTTCATGATTAATAGGAAATGAAAATAAACACGGTGACAAACCTAATAGATGCGAAGTATTTGCTACAAGGTAAGATTTATGAAATAGTATTTTTACATAAAGGTGGTGGACATTTGGACGAAGACATCTGTGTTCATAAGGCAGTTCCTCCTATGGCCTCTCTGTTGTAGCCAGCTAGCTCTTCAACATAGGTTGGATCATTTTCTTCTTCTGCTCCTGCTATGTAGCTTTTTAGCAAGACATTCAGGATATCCATTATCTGGACCAAGAAACCAGAGGAAGTTGTTTTCCTGCTGAGGCATGAGGCGAGGGCTGGGGTGAATGGGATGACTAGATGGGCGGAATGTACAACCATATAAAAACTTGGAAGATATGTGCCGAACACAGAATCCAAAATGACTCCCACACTCCTGAGCACTGTGAGTGGGACCAGTCGGGAAAGGACTACTTTCAGCCCTTCGTGCACAGGTTGTTAGCCCAACCAGTCTAGCCCTACAGGGTGCAGTTCTCTCAAAATTTCACTAAGTGTACAACTTTGCAGCCTTTTCTGTGTGTCTTGTCCAATTCTTTGTTCCTGACACCAAGGACCTGGAAAGAGCCCCTGGAGCCCCCAATCCTACAACACTGCCATTCTGTGGATGACACGTGAAGGATGTGCTCTCTTCTTTGCTCGTACTGTTCCTATATCCTGCAGTGTCCTGCTTAAACTTCTACAATCCAGGTTCAGTTCAAATTATTATTATTATTATTATTTTGTATTTTAGGGAAAGGTCTACAGGGTGTTCTGGGTCTCACTACTAGATCAGACTCATAGTGATCCTGTTAGGTAGTTTGCCTTAAATGCTTAAGGCATTTTTTTTTTTCCCAGAACTGGGGATTGAACTCAGGCCCTTGTGCTTGCCTGGGAAGCACTTATTCCACTGAGCTATCTCCCCGGCCCCTCATAGTGATTCTGTTTACAGCCTCACAAGTGCTTGGATTACAGGCCCGTACCACCACGCCTAGTCTCAATTGCCATCTCAGCTTGCCCAGGGGGCAGGGCCAATACAGCAGTCCGGGGATGGCAAGACACCCCCCCCCCAACATCCCCCTTCTGCACTCCTGCGCCTGCTTGCAGGTGCTTTAATCAGCAGAGCTATTTGGCCAGCCCTCAGTTCGAATTATTAACCCTTTCTTAACACAGCTTCTCTTTTCTCTCCTCTGAATATTACCTACTGCTTCTTCCTGTGTTCACGGATGTAACACCTCTTGTGCTCTCCTGGGCACTCCTTTTAGTCTACCTTTCATTACTGTTATCACTGGCTTACTTGTCTGTTTTCCCTACTGCTTTACAATATCCCTTGCACATGATTTGCTTTGTTTATCTAGGTGTCTACCATACAAATCCTACAAAGTGTTTTTACGTCTATTAGCTACTCAGTGTTACTGACTGTATAAATGAGAGAATTCCCATGTACTTATGGCAGCACTTTGGAGGAGGACATAAGGGCTACAGGAGTAGAGCTAGGAGGAACTACTACCTTTTTGAAGACTCACTAGTTCCTGTTCACTAGGACCAACACAATGCTGGAAATATGCAAGCTGCTTAATCTTTACACTTTATTTAAAATTGCCATTGGACGAACTGTCCAATGTACAGTTTACAATTTGCTTCAATTGAAAATGATTTTTTTTTATTAGCTCTGGCCTTCAATGTAGATATCTGCCTTCACGTGCATATAGACTTTCACTTTGTAAATTTTATTTAAATAGTCAAGAAATTTGAGGGCTCATGTCTTGGGAGAAACTAGGCAGGAATATTTGATGGAAGTTAGACAATAGTCTAACTGAGAATGAAGACGAGACATCAAAGGAATTTAAAGTTTAGTTAAACTCTCCTTAGTGTACATTACTGTCCAGTTCACACTGCAATCTTCACTTACAGCATAACTCCATCTATACTCTTTAGAAGGCGTTTTAGCTCACAGATGGGAGAAACAAATAGACCTGTGCTTATTTGATGCTAATAAATGTGGACAAAGTCTGGGCAAATTTCATAAACTAAATAAAGTCATTCTATGGTCCATAGTACCCATATCTGGCACCTTGTATGCCTGCTATTTGTCAGAGTCCAAGATGTGAAGGCTTGAGCCTAGTTAGTAGAGTCTGTCATGTGGTCCAATGGTCAGGAAAACACATAGGGGCTTAAGATTCTTCACAGATGGATAAGCAATGGTGTGTAGCTATAAAAACAAATTTCACCTTACCACTTTCTGGATCTAGAAAAAATTCACTGCTTCCAGATCCATACAGCGAGTACCGGATGTCTCCATTGGATCCAATATCAGCATCCTTGGCGCTGACCTTCAGGATAACTTTATTGGATGGAATGTCTTCAGGAAATGATGCTGTATATGCAACCTGGGAAAAGGCAGAAGCACTAAGCCATTAGTATTTGGGGGATGATTGCCACAGTTAGCCATTATTTGTGATTACTCTAAAACATCATTTGTGTACTTTCTCTCCAGCTATGTTTTCTTTGACCAGGTATGTATGCTACACTAGATGGTAAAACATGGTGTACTTGCTGCCCTATTTCTTCTGTGATCATTCATTCTGAAAATATTATTAAGCATCCTCTGTGTGTACAATGCTATGGGACGCAAGAGTACCCTGGTGAAGAAGATGGAAGTCCCACCCCTGTGAAACATATCACAGATTGACTATGGCCCATTTTCCTGTGGCAATCCAGTGAGATCTTAGGATTCTTTCCAACTCTTTGAAAAACAACTTCTAGCATGTAGGGATCTGTTTCTAACCTACAGAACACAATGGTCTGATGGTCCATATGGTAAGAAAAATAACTCCATAGTGATTAATTTAAATAAAGAAGAAAATGAAATCTAGTGGTAGCACCCACTACCATGTTTTGTACAGCTGTTTAAAGCCTCCTTTATGAGGATCCTGGGAACTTCTGTTCATTACCAACATGGCCACTCATCAGCTATGTAAAAGGTGTATACAGACAGGCAACGTGTAGCACAATTCATTTGTCTATTATGATAGCAATCATTTAGATCAAAGTGATACGATTCTTCGTAAATTATGTGTTTAAGATTTACTCTTTCCTTTGATAGGGGGCAAAATTAGGTACTTATCTTACTAGCCATATGCTTTTCATACTTAGTATGTGATAGGTTCTGGCCCTAGTATGAATTGCTAAAATCATTATGATGGTCATCTAATACGGCTGATGCCCTTACAACAAAGGCCTATGCTCCTGGGACCGCCTCCTTCTTCTTCTCCAACTTAACCCAGGACATAATTTCCTTTCACCCTTCCTGCCACCTCAGGGAAGACCCCAGTCAGCTCCTCAGGTATATCTAAACATCCCCCTCCAAACTCCACCCCTAGCCAAAAGCCATAAAAGCCTCAGCCTTCCTTGGTCTAGTCCAGAGAATTCCTTGACCTCCCTGATTCTCTCCATGTCCTCAAAGAAAATAAAGCCCTTTCCCTTTTTCCTTCTGTCTGTTTCTCTGCTGCGCCAAGAACCTATCAGTATGTTCCATCTTCGACTACTCTCTACCCTCTTCTCTCCAACCCCAAGGCTAAGAACAGATTTTAGTCTGGCCATAAGAAGAGAACTCAAGTGAGTTTTGATTTCATTTGGGAGAACCTAATAAAAGAAGAGCTACAACCCCCAGCTCTCACCTGATCACACACAGGGCTGTTGTCATTTACATCACTGACTGTCACTTCCACCATGGCCTGTGTGACAAAGAGCCCATCAGTGGCAGTGATATTGAGGAAGTAAATGTCTTGCTCTTCTCTATCTAGAGGTCTCTTCACATAGACCTTCCACTCACTCTGCACCAGGCCCAGAGCAAACCTTCCTCGGGGGTTTCCTCCTGTAACGGAAACAGAAGTTCTGAAGACATGGCCGAGACACTTTGGTCTACATCCACCACCACAAGTCCAGGTGCGTTCATCCGGGTGCCCTTCAGCCTGTATTATTGATGACACTGAAAAAAACTGATACTTCCTTTAATTCTCCTGCAACAAAGCATGATGTTTACATACTGGGTTTAGGAGGAAAATAAAACAGCAACTTTCCAAGAGAATAAAATCCACGTAGAGAAACTGGAGATGAGCTCTTGTTCAGTTCCTGTTAAGGACTATCAAACTCAAACTGTGAACAATCAATCCTCATCTCAGGATGTTACAATTGTCTTTCCACTTAGTCTCAAGAGAAGATGTAATACACTGTAGCTCTTGTTACCAAGACAATTTCATTAACTGTTGATTATGCAATCAAGAAAAGGCAGTCAGTTCCATTAAGGAATCTTTTAATGAAGTTTTTATCATACAGCTGCGCTCTTCTCCTAAGGATTGGAGTTTGGGGAGAAAAGTTTACATGACAGAGGAAGACCCATTAGTATTTAATAGCCCTAATGAGGGGTCATTTAAGGAACAGTTCAAAGATGAGCACAGCAATTAGGCCAGATTTATCAGAGGGAAGCTGGGGAAAGTGGAAGAAAAGTAGAAGAGATGAAGGGGAATAGCTTTTTATGATGCCCAGGCTCTGGCAGTGGGCCCAACCCTGTTACCTTTCTGCTTCATTAATCTACACAGAGACTAAGGCAGCTTAGAAAGAGGAGGGAAGAGAGCTGCCTTGACCCTAAGAGGAAAGGAAAGGAAAAATGATGTTCTAACAGTGAGAAAGACAGAGCTGAGGACAACTGGCAGGAAGTCTGGGGTCTGGTGCAAGGATCACCATCTTGTTTACTCTAGTCATTTATCACCTTCTTTGGGACATCGTTATAAGCAGCAAGGCAGAAGCAGTGGGCAAAGTCAATGAAAACCCCTGTTCCTATGGAGTAAAGCCCACATTCTAAGCAGGGGATGGCTGACCACAGAAAAAAGAATTAGGATGTCTAGCAGAGAAGGTGCTAATACCTTGTGCTTCTATGGGCAAAACCAAAATCCATTTCAAGTAAATAGGAAAAATTAAAACTTTACGAATGAGAAATTGGGAACTACCCTTAGGAGGTGGGAGGCAGGTAGTTACATGTGAGTGAGTCTGCAGGAGTCCAAAATAGTTACCGTTACTATTGATCATGCTTAAAATAAATAGTTACCTACCAGTTAAGGTCAAATGAAGAAACAAGCATTACAGGCAGCTAAGTTAGGTGGAGATACTACCGGCAGCCAGAGAGGTCTAAGCCCTTGAGGGAGTCAGCACAGAGGATGAGGACCATCACAGCTGCAACTAAGCAAAAATGGGTGATCTGGAGCCTTCTACAGGTAGTGGGATGCAGCTCAAGACCATCCCCTTAAGGGAAATAAGGCAGACCCACGTGTGCAGTTGTATTGTCTCCCTAGTGTGACAAACGAGCAAGAAAGTAAGACCCAAAATACACAATGGATACTGTAAATTAGGAGGATACTTCAAAAGAAAAGACAAACTGAGATGGAGAAAGGGGAATGAAGAAAGGAAAAAAGAAAAAGAGTTAAGATTGTTACACAGCTCGTTTCTCTTAGTTCATTAAAAAGAAAACTTTGCGCTAATGTTGTTTAGACAAGATATGCTTGTATCTTCTACTCAGAATAACTACTAGGAAGAGAATACACAATGTAAGAACTATATTCCTATCTTAATAACCTGTTTGGAAACTCGGTTTTATTGTTATGTTTATCATTTTTTAAAAGGAAAAAAACAACTGGGATGAGAAAAAAAGGAAGAAAAATATATACATACAAGATAGTTAAGATAATTATATTACTAATTTCTATTGGTTCGTTAAAAGGAAGTGTTAGGGGCAGCCAAATAGCTCAGCGGATTAAAGCGCCTGCTTAGGCAGGTGCTGGGACTACCGACTGGGCTTGGATCTCTGGCCTGCCATGCTGGCCCTGCCCCTGGGTCATGCTGAGAGGACAATTGAGACTGGGCGTGGTGCCAGCCTGTAATCCCAGCATTTGGGAGGCTGTAAACAGGAGGATCACTATTCTGATCTATGCAGTGAGATCCTGTACACCCTGTAGATCCTGTCCTAAATTGAAAAAAATAAAATTATATTAAATTAAAAGGAAATGTTAATGCTTCATTGTTTGATCAATCTTGCATCCCTTTATCTGGTAACCTGACCCATTACTTTGAAGATAACAATATGCAATTTAACAACCATTGTTAATTTCCTATAATCTTGTTTTGAAATTCTGTATTTTTTTTTTTTGTATTTTGTATTTTTAAAATTCTCTTTAAAATTTTAAAAAATGAAACTGTGGCTGCAGGAGCACCTGAAGAGGATTACTAACAAGGGCCAGATTTCCATCTTTCCCCAGGGGATGAAAGCAAGTTTAGATTGTTGTTGGTACTGCCCTTTGGAGATGTCCCTGTAGAAATAAACCTTGGATCTCCTTGAGGCTGGGGCATCCTCTCCACCCACTAAGAGTAGGACTAATACAGCTAAGACTAAGACTAAGGACAAGACCAAGGCTATATTGCGTATCCACCATACAAATGACGTCATCCACATGCCCTTGCTACTACTGGATCAGTAATAATGAAACAACTCTATCTTTAATTCTATTGGTTGATTATAGTTTTGACCCACATTGTACCCACCTCATGATGTTGCTCTGTAACACTTTCTCAGAGAAGTGGGCTCACGGCTAATCCACTTGGGACCGCTTTTGTCTCCCAGGAGCTGTACCTCATGCCCCATTCCTATTTCCCAACAAATGTTCCTACTTTTACTTCCTGTTGTTCCTTAGAATTTATTCTTTGACGTCAAGGAACATGAACTCACCTCGAGCAGGTTAGGAATTACCTATTTTCCCCCTAGAGCACAAGGACCTCAAAGCATGATACAATTATAATCCTTTCTTAGTTCTCAGACTCAAAATTACTACATGGACCACCATGCCATGTTCAATTATATATTGTACACATTCATCCCGATACCCGGCTAAGAGGCCATCTATTTCCTAAATATAAGGCATACAGCACTCCTGTGCACCACGGCCAGGGCCTAGTGACATTATAAAGAAAAACATTAAGGACCTTCCCACCTTGAGTTGATACTCTATTAGCATATAACATTTTCTTTTCTAACTTTCTTACATGACTAAGCCTCCCCCCAATATTCCAATCATTTGACCATAACATTTTGCAATTCCAAAGTAATCATTAGGAAAAATGTCAGTGAGCATAGTACTTATCACATTCTTGTGAACTCTAGCAACAATTCCTTTTTTTCTAAGAGAAAAAAATTAAAACCAAAATAATGGAAGAGTAACAATGGTTAGTTGTCCAAACAATATTAGCACAAACCCTTCTTTAGTGAGCTAAGAGAAATTAGTAGTATAACTGTCTTAATTAAGATAGATATAGATATAGATATAGATGATATAGATATAGGTATAGATCCGCCTTAGGAACAATTCTTTTTTTTTTTTTTAATGTACTTGGTGCAGGGTCTGACTAGGCAGCTTGGACTCGTAGTGATCCTCTTGTTTTCAGCCTCCCCAGTGCTGGGATTACAGGCCTGTCCCACCAGATGACAGGCCTGTGGCCAGTTCAGTGTGCCTGGGGGCAGGGCTGGTGTGGCCTGTGGTACCAGGGATGGAACCCTGGTCCCTGTGCTTGCCTAAGCAGGCATTTAGTCTGCTGAGCTATCTTACCAGCTATCAACTCTTGAGTACATAAAAAGATATCTAAACTCTGACGTGTCACAGTTGCCTACGTGGCATTACCCACCTTCTTGCTTGAATCATAAATTTCCCTGCTTACACTTCTGCAGGGGCACCTAGGTATTTTGGCTGAATTCTTTCATGAATGTCTAAAGGACTGAGTGTTTGTTCCCTGTGGCATTAAGCCTCACATTCCCAGGGACTTAGGAACTTTACTGTTAAACTTTTACTAGTCAAATACTTTCTTGGCCTTCTTTACATGAGAATATTATAAAAAATTTTCCCTTAGACACCTCTAGTGGGGCTCTGAAAAGTTTGTTGTCTGTAGCTGTTGAACTCTTAAATTGCTATTTGCTCCAACAAACTTTTTATTGTGTCTAAATCTTTGAACACAACAAATAAATAAATAACATACTGTACACTGAATGCAACCTTCCTGAAAGAATGAAGTCATGTCTCTTTCTAATTAAGCTTAAAGAAAAAAATAAGCACAGGGCAAGAGCAAGCCTCAGGACCCTTTAGGGGAGGCTGCAGGGAAGGAGTAGAATTCCGAGGTCAGGACTGTATTGCTGGTGGAAGGGTGTGGGGAGGGGGCTGGTCTGTGAGCCTCTGTGCTGTGCGGGAACCATGGGATAAGTAGAATCGAATTTTGCACACAGTGTGGAAAATGAAGCCTGCACCTTCCTCTTGGGCAGCGGCTGTCAACTGGGGACTGTGTCTTTTCCCTCCCTGGGGCATCTGTCAGTGTCTGGAGATTGTTTTGATTGTCATATTCAGGGCAGGGGAGTAGCATGTGCTACTGGAATCTACTAAGCAAAGGGCTGGGATGCTGCGATACACCCTGCAATACACACAACACTCGCCCCAAGAGCTAGTGCTCCCCAGACATCAATGCTTGGGTTGCTGAGAAACTGCGGTCTAGAGACGCTTGGGGTCCTCCCTGGGGTATCACTCTCTTCCCCCACCAGCTAGGGTTCAATTATGCTTTAGTTGAATATTTTTTACAGTGCACATAAATTCAACCTCCGTACCCAACGCCTTCAGTGCAGGCAGGCCCACACCGTTCTTTTGTTACATAAAGTGATTAATGGTCCTTTGTTAATCTGAGGCAGAACAGCCAAGTTGGGCTATGTCAAGAGCAAAAGTTAAGTCTAATTAAAATCAGTTGGTGGTTGGCACTGCTAATAGCAGCAATAGCTTTACGCCACTCTGGACTCATTACTTCGGGAAAGTTGATGGGATGGTCCCTTTAAATCATCTGTTGAGAACTGAGAGACTATGTAAAAATAATTAAGGCTGAATAATCAACCATTTTTTCCAAACAGAAAAGTAGCTCTCAAAATGTCTTAGAAGCTTCTTCCCCTGTCCCTGAAACGAAAGGCAAATAAATCAACTTACCTCACTTTCCTTGCAACCATCTCACATTTTCACTGAAGAAATACACATTCTAGTGAAAAAAGCCTGAAGGTATCAGAGAAGTATAAAAATACAGAAAATGTTCCTCTAAGTAAAACACCTCAAAAAACAGTTCCACAAAGAAAAGAGGAGACGAATGCTGAAAAGCGTGGCAACTCCGTGTGCTGACGTGTTTACTCGACTGCGGATCATATTCTGCAGTGATTAATTAACTCTTCCACTAACATACTTAAGCAGATTCTGTATCCTAAGGGCTTTCTAATTAATTCATTTTTCACTCTGAATAATGTGGGGTTTTTTTCTAAAGGAAAAGTTGCCTCCTGACTGTAAGTATTGATGGAGTCTTTAAAAATCCTTTGGCACTTTGCTTATGTTCTGGCTTTGAATGTTACGGGATCAAAATACTTGCTTAAATCCCCCAATCATTTTTAGGAAGGCTGTCTTCACACTACCAGCCTTGTTCTCTTCATTGTCAAAGGCCTGTCAGCCACAGCAGGCCATTCCTAATCAACCCTTTGCACTTTGATGTGAAATCCTCGCCTCCACTGAGCAAGAGCGACACTTCTGTGCATTCCTGGTGACCTCGTTTGTCTCTCTTGGCTTTCCCAGTGAACTGCTACTTATTATTTGGAAAAATACAAAGGATTCAAGAAAACAAGAGTTGTCAGAAGCAACCCCCTTGATATGGAGCTATAATTTGGGACTTAGCAAAAGGTCAAAGTGTGAGCTCTAATTTGTCTATACGTGTGCCTATGTGCTTTTAGGACCAGCAAAACCTCATAGGTGAAGTTTACTGGAATCAAGCTGTTTGGTTTGCTCAGCATTAAAAAGAAATATATATATATATATATATCCTCATCCCAAAGAGCTGTTCTGTTCATTTATTCAGTTAAAATATTTGTCTAGACTTCTTCATGACATAAATGACACAAAGATTGAGTGCCAACCTCAGTAATGCTGCAGGCAAATAAATACATGCCAGGTGTAGGCTGAGTTAACAACCAATGATCAAAACCCTGAGTCTACTCAGAGACCTTTACCTCTGCCCAGAGAGGTCTTATGTGCTTGAGCCCTTAGCTCATCTTTCTTCTTCTCTTGTACTCTTGCCCACTCACCTCACCCATCTTTCTTTAGGAAGCAGAGCACTTGGTGAGCCCAGGGGGTGGAGACTCACCTGTAATATGGTAGCTCACTTGGCGATTGATGTCAGAAGTGTCTCTGTCCCATGTGCTGAGCACGGCCACCACCTCTCCTGGAGGGTCACTCTCCTTCACATTCCCTTGGTACACCTCATGGGCAAAAACTGGTGCATTGTCATTTATATCCGTCACCCTGACAGAGACCAGAGCCATGGACGAAAGAGAGAATGCCTCTCCTAGGTCTGAGGCCACCACAGAGAAGGAAAAAGCAGGGTCTGTCTCATGGTCTAGGTCCTTCAAGGTGCTGATCCAGCCTGTGTTGCTGTCAATATTGAATGCTTCCATTACTTTTTCAGGATGGGAGTCTGAGTGGAGGGCATATGTGACCTGCCCATTGGCTCCCCAGTCCATGTCGACAGCTCTCACCTGCGTGAGCTTCGTTCCAACAGGCATTCCTTCCATTATGATGGTCTCATAGCTTGAAGTTTCAAAGACTGGTTTGTTGTCATTCAAGTCCAACACCTTGATATCTACATCCACAGTAAACACAATGTCTACCTTGTCCAGGGGGATAGTGGCTGCTACCTTAAAGTGGAAAGCTGGGCTAATTTCATGGTCAAGGCGCTTGTCAAGTTTGATAGTGCCTGTTTCCTGTTCTACAATAAAAACATTCCCTTTGTTATTCTCTGGCCGTTCACCATTCACTGTGCTGAAGCGGACGTGCTGGCTGGGTAAAATCCTCAGGGTGTCCACCGTGCTTCCGATGGCTGCGTCTTCTGCAATGGTAAAGGAATACTGAGACTGGGTGAATGAAGGCAAAAATGTTTCAGGGGGCAAGACGTGGATATAGACAGGAATGAGGGCATGCTTTACCGGAATGCCCCCGTCAACTGCTTTGACAAAGAACGACAGCACTGTATTTTTCAGCTGGTTAAAATTGCCCTTTGTGACCATCCATCCATTGTCAGGATCAATCTCCAGGAGGTCAGCCACTGAGACAGAGGCTTCACTATAGAGGGAGTAAGTAATCCTTGAATTGGCTCCATCGTCTGGATCCATTGCTTGAACTTGAGTGACCAAATGGCCCCTTCCCACATCTGCCCTTACACTGGCTCTGTATTCTACCGTCATGAACTGGGGTGCATTGTCATTTTCATCCACAACAATCACCCTCACAGTGCAGAAAGTTGTCCTTCCTCCACCATCCAGGGCCCTCAAGAAAATACTAATATCACCTTCCAGGGGGTTTTCCCGGTCTAGCCGTTCAGTGGTGATGACTTGGCCATTGCTATCTATGAGAAAGCGATCCTTGGCAAAATCATTGATGATGGCATAGCTGATCTGCCCATATGTTCCCGGGTCTCCATCGGTGGCTCGAATATGGATTACCTTAGTGCCAGCCGCTGCATTCTCTCTCACCTCAGCCACATACGTGCTCTGGGAAAAGGCGGGGCTGTACAGGTTAGCGCCGAGTACCCGGATATGCACCTGTGCAGTACTGGTGAACAACCCATCAGAAACAGATACATTGAGACTGTACAGGGGCTCCATCCTTTGTTTTCGGTGATTAGACAGGGTGATGACGCCGCTCTTGCTGTCCATCAGGAAGCTTGTCCGGTCATTCCCCGACAAAATGCTATATTCTAACCGATCAAAGTCAGAGCTGTCTGCATCTGAGGCTTGTACACAGGTTACAAAATGACCCCGGGGAGCTAATTCGCTCACATATGACTCGTAAATGAGTTGATGAAAAACTGGAGGGTTGTCATTTACGTCAGAAATGTGGATATGAACCAGAACCTCGCTGCTCAGGGACGGAAAACCATTATCTATCGCTCTGACTTTCAAAGTGCAGTACTGCACTAACTCATGGTCCAGCATCCTTGCGGTCAGGATTAAGCCGCTTGAGCTGTCTATGTGAAAATAATCCGTGCTGTTGTAGGTATCCTGTGCAATCTGGTAGTGCACCATTTTATTGTTTCCTGAATCTATGTCAAAAGAGACAACTTGCAGAACAGGTGTACCAATGAGAGATGCTTCTGATAATGTTGTGTTGTATGTGGGCTGATCAAAAATGGGAGGGTTGTCATTGATATCATTAACTAGCAAGTCAACAGTGACTTCAGCCCTAGCACCAGTGAGGGCATCGCTGGCTCTTACTGTCAACTTGTAAATGGATGTAACTTCATAATCTAAAGGACTAACAACTTTCAGGACTCCAGTATCAAAATCAATGTTGAACTGCTTCAAAGGATCCCCATCAATAATAATATATATGATGCCTTGACCTTCTGGGCTGGTTGCATTGATGCTCAGAATGGGTGTGTCCATTCTAATGTCTTCGCTGACAGATGCTGTATAAAATGGCTTATCAAACACCGGCATTGCTTTGTTGACAATAGTGATGGGAAGTTCCACAGATGTGGACAAAGAGGGTTTTCCACCATCTTTGGCTACGACAGTGACTTCATATTCAATGTTGGACAAGTCAGAGTTGAATGCTTCTTTTAAAATAACATTCCCTGAATTAGGGTTAATTTCAAAGTGACCATAATCATCCTGCAGGACATAGGTCACTTCTCCATTTGCACCTTGATCTCTGTCGATGGCTGTCACCCGGTATATCAGAGTCCCGGGCTCAGCATCAACTTGTACAGCAGCATAGTAAGGGAGACCCACAAATACTGGAGAATTGTCATTTATGTCTTCAATGTTAACCCTGACCACCACTCTAGCCACACGTAGATGGTCTAGCTCACGGCTGGTTTCTACTACCAACTCATATAATTCTTGTTCTTCGCGGTCAAAGGGAACTCCAGTGGTCTGAATGACTCCTGAGGTAGATTTTATCTTGAATTTATTTCCTGGGTTTAAAATGCTATATTTTAAGGGCTCATTAAGGCGGTTTCCAACTGCATTGACAATAGCAACTTTGGTTATGTTATTATTGTTCTCTAAGATTGAGGTGGAGTAAAAGCTTTGTGTAAAGTGGAGGCCACTGTCCATGGCCTCTTTAACCATGATGGTGACCATGGCTGTGCTGTAGAACTTTCCATCAGACACTTTAACTATCAGCATATAGTGATCTTTGGAAAGGTTGTTGTTTTTTATGGTGAGTACTCCACTGTTTGAGTCAATTAAAAAATGATCCAAGCTGCCTTCCATTAAGCTGTATGCCAGTTCAGGGGGCACTTCAGAGTCAGGATCCGTGGCACTAACTTTCAGAACCTCCACTCCAACATAGGTAGGGAGAAGTAAGATGGTCTCAAACACAGCTTGAGTGAAAACAGGTGGGTTATCATTCACATCTGTCACCTCAATGTTGACTTCAACAGGGCTCTCTGCAGTCAGCTGGGGGCTCCCGCTGTCTCTCACATGCACATGAAAATGGAAGTGGGCAATGGTCTCATGGTCTAGGTTTGCAATTGTTCGGATTGCACCTGTGCTGGAGTCTACTGTGAAAAATTTCTTGGCCGTGGACTCCACAATTTGATACACAAGCAGTGCGTTCTGGTTACTATCAGCATCAGTGGCTCGAATCACCAGTGGGCTGTTATCCAAGCTCCTGACAATGCTATTGACTGGGGCTGCCTCACTTAGACTGCCTGAGTATTGAGAAAAGAGAAAAACTGGAGCATTATCATTTTCATCAACAATCTGAATATTGACTGTGGCATTGGACGCCATTCCTGCCATGTTAGTGGCCTGAACGATAAGCTGATAAGAAGAGGTGTGCTCGTAATCCAGAGCCCTCCGAGTGGTGATGACTCCAGAGTATGGATTGATGGTAAAGATTCCATCAGTATTTCCATCTTTGACTTCATAAATGAGGGTTGACTGACTGATGGCAGAGATTAGGATGACTGATGTCCCAATATCAACATTCTCATTTACTTCGGCTTGGTAGTCTTTGTGAGTGAACTTGGGGTGAGAGTTATCAGACATGGTGACTGAAATGCGCACAATTGCAGTGGCAGACATTGGTGGAGAACCTTGATCTGTGACTTTGACTGAGAGCACAAACTGACCCATTGTTGTCATGTCTGGTTCTCTGGAAATAGTGATGATGCCCAGGACTGGCTCGATCTTGAATGTGGTCCCAGTATTCCCTAAAATTGAGAAATCAATGGAGTAAGCAGTTACAAGTGGGTCATTAGAATCTTTTTGGAAGATTAACTTTTTGTCAGAAAGCATTTAAGATTATCAACAGGTTTTTATTTCACCAGAAACCGCTCAAGTTCTTAATGAAAAGACTGGCCACAGGTTAGAAAAGCAACCTCAAAATTTGTCACGTGTACCTCTATGTCTGAGTGTGTGTGTGCTCATGTTCTCTAAGGACAGTAGGGTGGGAGTAAAGAGTTGGGGGTAATCACGAAAATTCTCATAACTCACAAAGCAAATAGTGACCTTTTACTGCCAGGTGGTCAGTAGCCGGCAATTTCTTATATTCATTCCTTACCATTCTGACACAAATGACAGATTTCTCTTTCTAGCATATGGAAAGCAACAAAAATAAGTTTTTCAGTAAAATTAGTAATTTTAGATCAGTAGTTTTTGGGTCTAGGTTGAAAGTAGCAGCAACAGCAACAGAAATAGCATGGGGTATAGTCAGGGTGAGAAACAAGAAGCTTGTTGGGGAGACATTTCAGTTGAGAATATGTAGGACTTTGTCATTCCTAGCCTGTGAGGAGACAGACAGAGTAGGCTGGCACAAACCAATGCCACTGCTAGTCCTGTCTGTCTGTCTGTCTGTCTGTCTGTCTGTCTGTATATCTGTCTCTAAATCAGTGCCATATTGTATGCTTTACACTGAAAGAAGGTGTAGTACAGTAACCATTTTGGAGCACTGCTGTGTTGTCATTTGGTTTCAAACTGCTCCAAAGGTAAGCTTTGTGATGTGAAATTGTTGATACTTCACTCTGCCGAAATTGACTTCCTCCACAAACAACTTTGATGAAGTGAGTTTCATCAGGTATGAAAAATTCTTCCCAGGTCACTTTTTTTTTCCATAATTTTATTGAGAAACAAATAGCAATGAGACAGTTTCAAACCAAATTGGTAGGACAGCTTCAATAATTAACACATTGCATAATTCTTCCTAGTGGTTAATTGCTGTACAAGATGCGGATTGAACTCAGGCCCTTGCACTTGCCAGGGAAGTGCTTATTCCACTGAGCCATCCCCCACCCCTTGCCACCAGGTCACTTTTGCAAGTGGTGAGATCTTTTTCTGATTCCTTCCTGTTCTTCATTCCTGTTGTTCTCATTGACCACATACAGACGTGGATGTACACAAAAATATTCCCAGGTGGTGGCTCCAATTGATAGCCATTCTGTTCACTAAGCATTTAGGAGGTTTCTGGTGAAGTAGGAAACTGTTGATTATTGGAATCAGCCTTGAAACCAATAACGTGAGGAATAAGGTTTATGAAATCTGAGGTGTAAGCAGTCTCTAAGCAGGAAACATGGGGTCCCACTTTGACAAAATGAGAAGAGCTGCCCTGTTCAGGTTTCGCTGCTCTGCAATAACTTAGAATTTGGGATTATTGAGGGTGATGAAATAGAAAATGGAAAACATAAAACTTGATGAATAGAGACAAGGCTAAACAGTGACACAGGGCTGAAAGGCAGTGGCCAGTATGAAGATACAGCCTTCAGCTTGCTGTGTGCTTCTTTCCTCAGGCTTCCTGACACATCTCAAGAAACACATGCCTGCTCCTGCTTAGACAGGTGTGGAGACTGGGGTTTGATCCCCAGTACCGAAGGCGGTGCTGGCCCCAACCCCAGGCATGCTGAGCAGAGTCTGGGTGTGGTGGTGCACATCTGTAATCCCAGACCTGGGGAGGCAGAAAACAGGAGGATCACTCACTCCAAGTCCAAGCTGTACAGTGAGACCCTGTGCCAAAAACATTTAAACAAAACGAAAGAAAAGAAAAGAAGGCAAAAACACATGCCTTTGTTTTTAGATTTCTTTAAACTAAAAGTTAAAGATATTGGTTATTCAAGCGTATCTGCATTTTTCTTTCCTTTTGATACTGTAGTTGGGCAGGCATACAGATCACTTAAGTATCAAAATCATTAAGATAGGAATCATTAAGACAGAGTTAGTTTGTACGATATGCTTATTGAAATAAACAGCAAATAAAGCTGTGTACATACTCTTGTTATGCAATTATTAAATATATTTTTTCTATGCCTGAATAGAAAAGGGTTATATGCATGTAAAATTCATTTGATTATTTATTTTTAAAGAAGTAACATACCATATAAAGATATTATTTGATTCTACCTTCAAAATGTGAATATTAAACAATGTTAGGCTTGATATTGGAATGAGCTTTTACATTGCCATCTGTACATGACCATTTTGTGATGACAATAACAAAAAGTTCAATGATTATTTAAATAAGCCTTCAATGAAGAGCACCATGGAGTTAAGCCAGAAGGATTTCTCCTGCGCAGTGGTTACTTTCCAGGGATGGCACCAGTCCTGACTGACAAATGCTAACCCAGCATGTCCCTGTGCTTCTAGATTATGGGACCCTACCTCAGTTTCTTGGGAAGCCCTCCCTCACCCCAGGCCCAGAAATATGGCTTCATTCCTAGTGAGGTATTTTTATAGCAGATGTTACATGGGGCGAGATCTGGAACTCCAAGAGGACTCTGCAAACCTGCTGTCCCATGACCCCTGAGCCGCCCCTTGTAGCCCTCCAGCACACTGTACTCCAGTTCACCTCCTTCCCTTTTCCTCTTCCACACCCTGCCTCATTTCCTTGGGATCCAGTTCCTGCATGTGCTCTCTTTCTAGTCTAGAATATTTGGAAATGAAGCTTTGCTTATTTTCTGTAATCTATGGCTTCTTGAAGACTTCTGACAGCTGGATACCTGATGTTCTCCTCTTGAGGATCATGACTTGTCTGGTACATAGCACAAGGCCTGCCACAAAGAAGGTGCTCAATAGTTATTTTTGGAAGGAATGAGAGGAGAGATTGATCTAAAAAAGGTTTTTTTTTTTTTAATTTTTTTATTTATGTGTGTGTGTGTGTGTGTGTGTGTGTGTGTGTGAGTGTGTGGCCAGCTCAGTCCACCAGGAGGCGGGGCTGGCTGGCATGTGGTGCTGGGGAATTGAACCGTGGTCCCTGTGCTTTGCTGAGCTTGTTTTTTTTGTTTTTTTTAAGTAGGTGCTTTAGACCACTGAGCCATCTCACCAGCCCAAAAAGGTTTTAAATCATCTTTGTGCATGCCTTTTAGGATTCAGTAGGTCTCTATCTAACTCAGTATGTAGCCTGTTTCTCTTCTCTTCTGCTGTCTCAGAACCATCACTAGCACCAGGCATAAAACTTGAACCAAATAGATGACCTGCAACTCTGCAGTTAAATTCTGCTTCAGTCCTTTAAGTCAAAATAAATAGCTTTAGCAGTTACTCCCCAGGGTGAGCAAGAGATAGGAAATTTATAGACCACCAATAAACAGTAAAATCTTGCTTATCTGAGGTGTATTAAAGAAGTCAAATAAAAAGGTAACATTTTACACAGCCACTTGTCATTTGCTTCAGAACGCTGAAACGTTGGGGATCAGCCTCTCTTCTCATTGTCTGAGGAGATTTCCTGGCCAGGGTGCACCTTGAGTCTGTGGAGGGGCCTAGCAGCTATGGGACCCTTAGTGTACACATTGTAATTCCTATCATTCTTTACACATATAATATAACACCTTTTTTTCTTCAGATCTCATTTTTGTGTGTGGTTTTCTGGAAATTTAGGTTTTCTTTATAAAGGATATTCACAGGAAATAATTTTTTCTTCTTTTAGTCAATTGTTAACATAATGACAGACAACCAGGCTGTAGTCTTGGAGTTTAAAACTTAAGTAAAGTAGGCTTTCTGCTGGCTGATAAGTGAACTACTTTTTGAGAATCTCCATATTGGTTTAAATATTATCTGGCTATCTAGAGAAGTAGTAGCCTTAATGACGATGTACAAAACAGGTATAGGTAGACAGACAAATGTTTAGAAAAGTGACTTAAAAAGTTAAAACTAGGCTTTATATCCAAATGACATGAAACTATGTATAGGGATGAATGAATGTAGGGAGAAAAAAATAAGAATAGAAAAAAGAACCAAATAGCTGTTGGATTAGATAACATTTTCTGCAAAAGATTTCCCTTTTCTATTTGTAGAATCAAAAGAATAAGGATTATATAAGTAAATAACAAAAACATTAAATAGATGGAAGACAGCATTTCAAAATACTGGCAAGGCTTTAGGCTGAAAGAAAACCTTATGGAAATCTAGAAAAGGAATGGAGGGATTCGCTTAAGCACCTGGCTGTTAGGGACCAAAGCTTTTCTTTTTTTTTTTTTTTTTTCTCTTTTTTAATATAGAGGTCATCATAGACTCAGGTGCAATTCAGGGGTCTAGAACAGAAAATAGTTTTAGATTATTATTTGATATAGGGATTTTTTTTAAAAGAAGATTATTGTGTTCTCTTTCTAACATGCCTAAACCCAAACTGTCATTCTAGCCTTTCTATTTTAATTTGACTGCTCATAAAAATGCTCTACATTTCTATAGAGGATAGAAGCCTTTCTCCTGCTGGTGTGGAAGGAGGATGCACTTGGCATATGTAGGGCAGACATAATGCTGTGGGATGTTCGGGAAATATGTGGTCAGAATACTCCCAAAGACAGCGCAGGGGAAGGAAAATGGAGTGCGTAACAGATATTTGCCCCTTTTAGGTCTCCAGTCCTATCTTGCTTGGACATTTATCTCTCTGTCATAGCTGTTCAGCTTTCCATCTTCAAGCCATCTGGAAACTATGAGCTTATCTTACAGATGTTAAAACTGGCTTTAAAAACAAATCTCAAATTTGGGCTGGGGAGATAGCTCGGTAGTCTAAGTGCCTGCCTGGCAAGCTCAAGGACCCGGCTTCCTTGGTACTGCATGCCATGCTAGCTCTGGAACCCCATCCCCGCATCCCACCTACTGATAGATCAACAAAGGTATGTGAGATCCAATTTGCAGAACAGCCAGGCAGCCCTGAGGCCATGGTAGACTGGTTATTCTAGTCTGAGGCCATGGTTTGTTGGAATGGGGGTAAAAGCCACAGAATGTATTGCACATTTCTTCTTCCTTTGCCATTTCAGAAAACACTCTGACACTGAACACAAAGAGGAAAGTCTTTCCTCACTGTTGATAATAGAAAATGTATCACTGAAATGCCAACAACTTTATATACCAGCACACACAAAGAGGATGACTGCTTGATCCAAAATTTCATTTAGCGTCATAACAACCTGCATTGCACATGGTGATATATAATCCTGGGTCCAGGGCCGTGTATTACACTGAAATCTGTGCAGCGCAACTGCTCTCACCTGCTTCTATGGTATATATGAGTTCTGCATTCTCCCCTTTGTCTTTGTCCAAAGCCGTCACTTGCAGAACAGCTGATCCCAAGGCAGCCGATTCAAACACAGATGCTTCGTACAGTGGGTTGGTAAAATAAGGGCTGTGATCATTAGCATCTTCCACATTCACAATGACTCGGGCCAAATTTCTTCGATAAGGAAACTCCTGATCTCTGACCTTTAGGCAAAACACAAGAAGGAGTAGTGCTCAGTTGGATGCCTGGCCTAGAGTCTGGGCTTCATCTGGGCCCGCAGCACTGATAAATTGATAGCACAGTCATGACACTCTGCTCTAGGTCTCTACATAGTGATGTCCTCCTTGACGTCTATGTTTAGAGCTGCTCATGGAATGGGGGACGGAGGCTCTTTTATGAGAAAAATCAAGAGTGGACTTTACGAGTTCAGTGCTCCATGGCCATCCATTCATTCAACAAACATTTATAGCTATCTGTCTATCAAATCCCAGGGTTGACTCTAGTGATTTAGTAGTGAAATGTGTACAGTCCCTATGCTCAAGAAGGTTAGAGTGGGGAACACAGACAAGTCAATAAGTGTAACACACAGTGCTATGTGAAGGCACGGGCTATGTCCGAAGTGCACTCAGAGTTGAAGAAGAGCCTAATCTAGTGTTCAGCTTCGTGGAAGAGGTAACAAGCCCAAGTAGAGGTGGCAGAAATGCCAGCATGTGGTGCCTTCCTGCAAGAAGATCCAATACTCGCAAGGGCTAAGAGGAGAGAGAGAGAGAGAGAGAGAGAGAGAGAGAGAGAGAGAGAGAGAGAGGCCAGCCTTAATTTTTAAAGTTGAGGTCTCAGTGTGACTTTATCAAAGCACTTCTCCAAACAATTCCCCATTTGTCACATGAGAGAAGGTTATAAATAATCCATTCTTTTAACCACTACCACATGGCTCTGCTATCATTTGAGGGAGTGTGAATCAAATGTGTCCTTTTGGCTTGTTCAGTTTCAGACTGCATAACTTCACAGAAAGATGCAAAGAAATTAGAAAATATACAGAAAAGAGCCATCAGAAAGAAAGAGGGCTTCATGGACAGCACCTAGAAGGAATGAGTGAAATGGCTAAAATGGCCTGGCTTGGAGAAAGGCAACCTCAACGACTTATTTGCTTTAAATATTCAATAACATAAATGATAAATGGTAAGGAGGGGCCAAACCGAATTCTATGTTGGAGGAAAGGATGAACAGAAATGACTTGAACTGCAAGAATAGAGTTAGTCACGGGCACAATGTTTCTTCATGCGACACTGACCCAGTGAAGATGCTGAACTTCTATCAATTTGCCGGCCATACCTGGGGGCCAACGTGGGCTCTTTACCTGCACTTGAATGCTAGCTCCAGATGTGCAGGTTCTTTGTCTGTTTTGTGTCCTCAGCACCCAGAGCACTGCATGATGGACACTACATGCATGAAGTATCTCTTGAGTGAATGAATGAATGAATGAATGATCAGAGGGATGAAGTGGATGACTGTGTGAGCTGCCCCTCCTGTCCCTTAGAGTTTTAGGTATAAGCCATAGCCAAGGGCAGGTGACATAAATTTCCTCTTCTCCAGAAAGGCTTTCCATCTCATGAGAGAAAAGTAGCAGGCAGTGGAAGATTACTTTTAGCTGCTTATGCATTTGTTGAGTCTTAGTGTATCGTAAAGCCAATCAGTACAAGGAATGAAGTGTCCGTCATCCAACCTGATCTTCAAGAGCACAGTAAGGCTCTGATGGACAATGTCCATGCATTGGCCATGGAGCTCTCAGGTTGTTAAAAATATATTATAAGATGCAACAACTAAGTGTGTTTCCTCTTAATCTCCACTTTTTTAATAACGTGATCCAAAAACACCCTATTTTAAAACTGAAGAAAATTCTCCCACATAATAGGAAGGAACATAAATGAACACCAATGCAGACTGAACAACTCTGCAGGGTTTGGTGTGTGTCAAGATCTCTTTTGTGTTCCTGCATGCAGTACTAGGTCCAAGGCCAGAGCAGTAAGTAGTAATTGGGTCTTTAAATGTTTTCAAGGACTGAGCACTGTACAGATTTCAAACGATTACCCTTATGACTAACTTCTACAAGAACCTCTTGTAAATATTTTTGCATTGTCTTCTGGAGGCAAACCAACCATACAGCCTGGGAACAGGGCTGGAACATTCCTTTCCTCTCAAGCCAGTCTGTCAGCCGCATTTACTGAGCTGCCAAAATCTGCAGGATTTGTCTAATGCTACAATGAAAAAAACAAATTTACTGCTACTTGCAAAACCAGAAGGGCCATATACTTCTAAGACTAAGGTGTTTGTGCCTTGCACTGGTAATGGTTGTCAAGAGAGCAAGACAGCAGCTTGATCCTACCATTACGTTGAGGATGTGCTTCTCCTGGGCCTCGTGATCCAACCTCTCCGCGGTATACAGCACGCCGGTGGTGGGGTCGATCCGGAATTTTCTCATGCTGATGGAGTCAATGCTGCTGTGTACAGTGTAGCTCAGCTTGTGCTTCTCATCTCGATCGGTGGCTTCAATCTGCAGTATTTCTGTATCTGGAAGCACATCCTCAGAAATTGTCACCTCATAATTTGGTTGAGAGAATTCTGGGCCATTATCATTATTGTCCAGCACTTTGATAAATACCTGTAGTTAAAAGAAGACAAGAGAAATGACTAATACCAGCTCACTCACTGCCAATAAAAGAGGTCCACTCTACCCCACCCCCGTGACCTTGGGTCCTAGCTTCTGCAGTTTTCTTAACATGTAGGAAGCTCTCTTATACAAATACTGTAATGAGAGGTTGACCAATACCAGTAGCTCACATAAGCAGGAATATAAATTATGAGTGATCAATATTCTCACTACTAGCTGAACAAATGAGGCTCTACCAGAAGGAGTAAGGTGGCCTTTGTCTTGTAAATTTTTACTATCAATGTTCTCCTTACCCATCTCTTCTCCTGGTGGAGTAATGTGGTGGGAGTGGCTGAAGGGGTAGAGTCACAGAGATGGAGGGAAGAGAGGGACAAAAATAGTCAGAGCTTCCACCTCCACTGTCCGCACCCTGTGGTTGTCCTTCAGATGGGAGGGGTACAGCCAAGGTCGTGGTGCTAGTGATGTATGAAATAGAAGTTTCCAAATCGATGTTTTCATAAAGTGTTGTGTTATGAAAGTTTCCGGTGAGATACAAAAGTAATTGCTTAATGTATGCTTTTGTAGTCCCTGCTCAGCTTTGACAATGATGAGCTCGTGCCTACCAGGGTTTCACCTATCCTCCTTTCATGCCCATTTGATATCCCTATTACTGTGAAACAAACACTAGCTATTATGTAATTTAAATATGTGTCCCTGGAAGATACTCTTAGAATAAACAAAAACACACATTTAGTAGTTTTGTTGTATCTAAATGGAGAATATACTTATCATCAGTTGGTGTTTATATTTCTCCAATTCCTTTAAGACATTTTCATATGTGTATGTGTAACTATATATTAATTTAATTTAATCTGGATATAAAAATGAGGTCCAAACATTGCAATTGGTTGATATATCTTTTAATTACATTTCCCTGGTGATTTCTATTTCCTTGCCAGTTTTGCATTGTTATTATTGGTGCTGAAGACACTGAACCATTTTTCTTTAGAGTCCAATAAGAACCCTGCTCATAACATCCCTGTGGTTTTATTCAAAACATCTTTCTGTTGTTTGTATTGTTTATGAATTGGTTGTTTGATCTAGGAGGCTCGAAAAAATTCAGCTTCAATTTCTTGTTCCTTTAAAAAAACATTCCTTGTGGCTGGGGAGATAGCTCAGTGGTCTAAGCACCTGCCTGATGTACACAAGGACCTGGGTTTGGCCCTCAGTATCACATGCTGTGCTGACCCCAGAACCCCAGGTGCATGCCTATAATGCCAGTGCTGGGGAGGCTGAGACAGGAGGATCACTATGAGTCTGAGCTATGTAGTGAGACCCTATACCAAATAAATAAGTAAAAATAAATAAAAATGAGAACATTTCTTCTAAATGATACAGTGTATTTCTGATGATGCATAATATTTAGCTCCCGCTCTTATTCTGTGATGCTAATAGCCCTAATCATTACATGGATTAACATTATTTAGTTAAAGTTTTCAAATATTAATATTTCAATTTTATTATTCTTTTGCATTTATTGGCTGGAATAGCTTTGCACAAAGAAATTTCACATTTTTATGGTTACTCTGAAATACAGTTTATACAAAAAAAGGCAAGGGCTGGCCAGATAGCTCAGCAGATGAAAGCGCCTGCTTAGGCAGAGTGCAGTGAGCGGGGTTCGATTCCTGTTGTGCCATGCTGCCCCTGCCCCTGGGGCGCAGTGAGGTGGCGACTGAGACTGGGAGTGGTGGCGCACGCCTGTAATCCCAGCACGTGGGAGGCTGAAAAGAGGAGAATCACTGAATCCGATCTAGGTAGTGAGACCCCTGTAGACCCTGTACTTAAATAAATAAATAAATAAATAAATAAATAAATAAATATTTTTTAAAAAGGCATGAAAAATTATTTAATTATTTCCTTCAATCATTGTGAAATAAGATGGTGGTGCCTTAAATCTTCTGGAAGTGAATAATGAGGCATTTCTTTCAAATATTATTACAAACTCATGAATTCAATGACATCTGACTGTTTCTGTCCAGTAAAGCTATTATGTGTACTGATGGATTGATACACAGTCTTTTCATTGATGTACGACTAGTCTAGTTTTGACTGGTGGGAATCTCTTCAGGTTGGCTCTTGAGGTTTTTTGATGCAAACCGAGGACTCTTCAATTACTAATTTCTCCTGGTAATTTTTGCTAGGGTTGTTTGTATGTTGGATTTTTTCTTGGTCCCAATCCTAAAGTATTCCTCTCTCCCCAAAGCCTTGGTTTCTTTTTAGTTAGAAATGGTAGTTAGAGACCGTAATCCAGTGGTAGGAGTGCCTGCTGCTTCTGTATTGGCCATCAGGCTTTGTTTATTCCCTGGACAGAGTAGGAAAGGATTTCTAAAAAGTAAATTTTTAGAGTTCATCCTGCTACTGTCATTTCACAATTAGGACACAGATTTTTTTTACTTAATGTCATTGCTTTCACTTTTGTTTCTCCTTTCACCCATGGCAGTGGTGCCTGCTCTCAAGTTAGGAATGATTTTACTCCACAGGGACTGTGCAAAACTGCCACTAGCAGCATGCCTTGCTGCTGCTGGCTGCAGGGATGCTGCTGACATCCAGCATGTGGTAGGCCAGGGATGCTACTAACCATGCTTCCCTGCATGTAGGGCAGCCCCCACAAGGAAGAGTGACCTAACTCCAATTGTTGTCAGTGTTGTTGAGACTTGCATGTGTGCTGCAGACAGCTCCACAGCAGTACGGAAGCGTGACTGACTAGAGTCACCAAAGCCAACGCCACAAGTCCTGTGTTGGTGTTGATTTCAGATATTTTCATTTTTACTTTTAGAAAAAGTGTATGGAGAGCAGCCCTGTGGCCATATTTTTTCATATTTTTGTTAGTATATATTTGTATCTAAGAATTGGGTTTCTTGATTAGAGCCAACCTGAAGAGATTCCTATTGGCCAAAACTAGACAATTTCAATGCTATTTCAGTGTTTTCCTTTTCTAAGGTTTTTATCATTTTTGGATTGTCACAGCAACATACGAGAATGACTATCTCTCACAGTCTTGCCAAAAAAGTCAGTGTTAAGATTTGAATTTTTTTTGCCAGTATGAGAGATGAAACATGCTATTTTAGTGTAGTTTTCGCACACCAAGAGCCATTTGCTTTTCTTTTTTGGTTGGGGCATTTATAACAGCTTATTCTTTTCCAGTTAGATGGTCTTTTTCCTTTTTCCTTTTTGTTAACGTGGGGAGATAAATTTCAAATCTGTTTTTTAATTTTGTTATGTACTTCATGTTGCCCACAGTGATTTTTTTTTTTTTGCTATGCTAACACGAACACATGGATCTTTTCTTCATAGGTTCTGGATGTAAGTCAGAGCTTAAAATATTATCTGTACTTCTGGCTTATAGATAAACACATCCATCTTTTAAAAATAGTATTTCTATATTTTCTCTTTTTTCATATATATATATATCTAACCCATTCGTAACTTTCCTGGCATATTTCATGAGGAATCTGGCATATTATCTGAAGAATGAATCCAGCTTTATTTTTTCCTGCATGTTCTGCATTTTCTAATGCTACTTTTCAAAAAACAACTCACTTTCCATTGATGTGAGCATCCACTTTTATTCTATACTGCATTTACATATGCAATTAGGGTATTTTTGGATTTTCTATTCTAATATGGTGACCTATCTTTTTTTTAAAAAATATTTTATACAGTAGTAATAAGATGTTTACTTGCAGAGGTTTTATGATACTTCTTATGTTTGGAAAGGCCAGGCTATCCTTTTTTTTTTCAAAGTTTTTCTGGCTGTGTTCTTCTTACATACTTTACAATCAACCTGTGTAGTTTAGCAATATTTTTAATTAGACTTAGGTTAGGTTAACCAAGGGAAAACAGATTTCTTTATAATGTGGTCTTCCTCTCTAAGAACATAGTTTCTTTTTTCTCTTAAGTTCAGTTCTGCTGTATTGGTTTTTTGGGATATTTTAGTTTGCCCCAAGTATGTCTTGAATTTTTTTTTTTTTTTCTTCATCAAGAACTGAGTTCAGAACCTTGTGCTTGCCGGGCAGGCCCCTGTGCCTCTGTGCTATCTCCCCAGTCCTTGAATATTCTTTAAAGGATGTGTTTATCCTAAGTGGGATGCTCCTTTTCAATGTCTTTTCATATTTTTTCATGAGCCATAAATACATCTAGGCTATTTTCTGTTCAATTTATAATGGTATTTTAGTACATTTTCTACTATTTGCAGTAGCTTTTCCAGTGAGTCTTTTAAGCTTTTTTAGATAAACCACCATTTTACATGCAGATAGAGCTGCTCTTCTCTTTCCTTTATAGTTCCTACTACACAGCCTGTTTTGTCTTGTCTACTCACATGTCTAGTATTAAGAGCACAACATTAAATAGCACTGGACGTAATAATGTTCTTATCTTTTATCTGACTAATAAAAATGATTCTAGGGCTGGTGAGATGGCTCAGTGGTCTAAAGCACCTACTTAGAACAAGCTTAGTAAAGCACAGGGACCACGGTTCAATCCCCCAGCACCACATGCCAGCCATCCCCGCCCCCTGGTGGGCTGAGCTGGCCACACACACACACACACACACACACACATAAAAAAAATAAAAAAAAATAAAAAATAAATGTTAAAAAAATGATTCTAATGATTCCCTACTGTATAATACATTAGTAGTTAGTTGCACTGCAGGAAGCTGTTTAGTTTTTTGAAATGAATGTGGGCAGGCCATGGCCGGCTTTATAAACAGTTACACTATCACTCACTTTAGTACAGATATACTTTTAGAATAAAAGAAAAGGGACAATGTTATCACTTCTGTGACAGAACAACTTGTGCTTGGGAATAATTCTAATATTGGACAAACTTTGTCCTGTAGTTTGTGCTAGAAACAGCGTTGAAAAGTTTGCTAATAAGAGTTTCAGGTATTATTTTCATCTTCCATATATGTTAAAAAATACTACATTCTGTGAATACATTTCTTTCCTCTA